ATGTTTAATGTTGCCTTGGAAATTAGCAGAAATAAAGTTTTTATATATATATATATATTTTATTTCAATAAACATTTATTTATTAATATAAAGTTTTAGTTAATGTAGTACATCTAAACAATAAAATGTAAAAAAAAAAAATGTTTAATGTTGCCTTGGAAATTAGCAGAAATAAAGGTTTTTTTATATATATTTTATTTCAATAAACATTTATTTATTAATATAAGTATTTATAAGTATACTTATATATAAGTATATAAAAGGGATAGATAGATAGATAGATAGATAGATAGATTTTTTTTTTTTTTTTTACCTGTCAGGAATTTTAAATATTCCTGTTTTTGTTTTGTTTTTTAGAAAAAATTCAAGTTCAAAAACTCGATTGAGAAACAGTTATGATGTGATGGATCTTGATGTATTGAGTCAAGACATTTTGTAATTGTTAGTTGAACAGAGGTTTTTGGACATCAGTTTCAGTACAGAACGGCTTCAGGTTTGCTATTTTGTTGAAGCTTCAACATCTTCCCCTACATCACCATTTGTTTGAAATGTAGCAACAGCACGCCATTCCCAGGGAAGCAAGGACTAGTTCAGTGAAGTGGAATGAGGAATTGCTCATTTGCTTTGACAGCCACGCCATAAATATTGACTCCTACAAAAATGTTACATTTCCTGAAGCCCTCCTGCCGTCTGCACGTCCCACAACACTTTCTGACAGCTCTGGCCATTCCCAGTCCATCCTGTTTGTGTCAGTCAGGTGGCCGAGAGTCCCAGCTGCTCCGCAGACCTGCTGCTGCTCTTGCCGTCGGCACCATGTGTGAGCTGCCACAGCGGCCAGGAGCTTTTCATTTGAATGTTAACGCTCTCCAGAGACTCTCAGAGGGGTTACGCTAGGTCTCACCTGAGCTAATTGGTCCTTCAGGGGGAAAAGTGTGAGAAGGCATGCTGTATTGCTTTAGTCTTCAACTTCTTTTGATTGATGCCTGACATGTAAAGGTCTAGACAGAGTATGTACATGCTAGATGTTGGGATAAAATACGTTTGGTCTTTTATGAGGCTCTGATGAAGCTGCAGGAAGTACTGGAGCATCTCTGTATGTCTTTGAGCTTTGAGCAAAACATTTCTGTCTGACATGTGCAGTGTTGCATGAGTCTGTCTCAGAGACGGGGCAAAGGAAGGTGAAAAAATAAAATTTTCACCAAAAAATAAAAGACTGGTGTGATAAAGACCTAATATAAATGGGTAAGTCCTGCCATGTAACAAGCTTTCATACTACATCTGAAACTATTTTAGTTTTTTTTTTCCCACGTACCTTTTTTGTATTTTAATTTGTTATGTTTTGCAAATGTATGCATTTATAAGTAGCTTGTATTAATAACTACATGGAATATTTGTACTTCTAAAAAATGTACATTTACATTGCTTTTTTATTTTCTGGTAAAAATATTAAAAACATTTTTAAAACAACATAAATTTACCCGAGAAGCAAAACTGCACAAAAATCATAAGTTTAACAAAATGTAGTGAGGTCAATGCTTAAAACAAGAAATAATGGGACAATAAATAAATAAATATTTTAATAATTGAATCCTCGGTACATTTAAAATTAATCTTGTTTTAACAAGTTTAGCTGTTTAAATATATATTGCTGTTTAAAAAAAAAAAAAAAATTTTTTTTTATATATATATATAAGAAAGTGATTTTTGCAGGATAAAATGAACTAGTGAACTGAAATTATTGCAAACCAAAAGGAAAAATACAATCTCCGGTCACACTTTACAATGAGGTTCCATTAGTTACCGTTGGATAACGCATTAACTAACATTAACAATTAATAATATGTTTGTTACAGTATTTAACCATCTTTTTTTGATATTACTTAAAATACAACTGTTCATTGTTAGTTTATGTTAGCTCAGGTCTAATAAATAATATAAACAGAGACAACTTTTGATTTTAATAATGTATTAGTAAATGTTCAAATTACCTTTAATTAAGATGAATAAATTATTTAGAAGTATCCATTGTTAGGTCATGTTAACTAATGTAATGTTAACAAATGGAATCTCACTGTAAAGTGTTATCCAATTTCCATTAAATTAATTGTCATTTTGGTAAAAAATATAGGGTAATAAATTTAATATTAATACATTTTTTATAAAAACAAATCAACTACGTCAGCCACTCAAATACACAATGCATGCTTAGGTCATTATCAGCAACCTGATGATTTAATTAATTTATTTATTCCTGATTTTATGGTACACTTCTATCTAGGTCTTGTATAACACATCTGGAATTACGTCAGTCTCCAATTTAACCTTCACTGAACCACTTCACATAAATAACCACTCATCAACTGGATTT